TTTTACCAACGAATAGTGGGATTGGCCGTCACTTATAACGCCCCATGGCTGAAAGGTCGAGCATGTTTGGTGGGACTAGGATTCGAACCTGCGAGTCGAGATCCCTAACCACCTGGCCATGCCGGGCCTAAATGCTGTAGTAATACAATGTAAATAACGAGCTGTATTAACGTGTACAAACTTTTCAAAAATATTTAATACAAAACGGTTAGAGCAAGAATTTAACGTAAAATCAACACTATTGGATTAATATTGAAAATTACTTTGGTCTATACTGGAAATTTACTTTTAAATTAAAGAACTTGAGTTAACAACGCCTTAACTTGCTCATGAATTGATAGTCAAGTTGGACATGTAAATATTGTTTTTTTTTATATAAATTCCAAACTTTCAGTAAAAACCGAAATCAATGTATCGCACAAAGCACTACAATCAGAAATAGGTTTCATCCAGTAACTTAACATATCACACAAAATTCTATTCAGAATTAGGTTTTATCCAGTCAATTAATGTATCGCAAAAACTAATATAGTCAGGATTCGGTTTCATCCAGTAATTAACATATCACACAAAATACTATAATCAGGATTAGGTTTCATCCAGTATATTAACATATCGCTCAAAATGCAATAATCAGGATTAGGTTTCATCCAGTATATTAACATATCGTTGAAAATGCTATAGTTAGGATTAGGTTTCATCCAGAAAATTGAAGTGAAAAACAGCTATTGGTCTGTTATGGAGATAATGCTGAAGCCACGTAAAAATAAAAATTATGACACTTATGTTTTGGGAATTAAAAGCTAGAACCATAAAATTGTTAAACATTCAATTCGAAATGAACAAAATTGATGGGTGAAGTTTAATGCTGTAACTTAGGCTTTGTTTAGGGTTTTAGACTTCACATTAAGACTCCTAAAAAAGCTTAAGAAAAATTACTTTATGAATTTTCGAGTACATTTATGAGGCTTAACGCAGTGTATAAAAAATGCGAGAAGACAGTAGACGCATATTAAAGCTAGGCAATAGTAAAGTA